TCTTGCGAGTGTAGTCTGCACTGCGGCGTCGGAATGGCACTGACCCTGTCAGTCGGCTTCTATCGGCTGTGCTCTGATAATTCGCTACTGGCAGTTAACATCGGCGACTAATTGCGGGAATCGACGGCGCTAACAGCCGGCCTCCGCAATTTTTTTACGTCATGTTTGTGCACTTCGTAACGCCACCGCGAAGCGACACTGTGACTGTAAAAATTGATAAAATTAATTGATGGATATAAATGCAGTCTAATTGATTTCCCGGGCCTTAAAACAATTCTCTCTCGCATGGCGTTGCGGATTATTCGTAATACCGGTTCTCATTAGCTCCAGATGTTCAAAGATTCATGTCTTTATGTTAATTGTATAGATTTATTTTTTTAATTAGCGATGACTTATGCGCATTGATATTAATGACAACGGTTAATTGTAATTACATCGACGCGAACAGGATCTGCTATCTTTTGATTCTTGTCGCTTGTTATATATGCTGATAATACGATAGGTTTAATTACTGATAACGATAAGTTGCGAATGCATGAATACTAAGACGGTAAGAAAACTTGATCGTTCTGAAAAGAATAAACGCAAGAAAGATCGAATACCATTAATCTTAGCGTAGATAATTGCGTTTCTAAGATGACTCAATTATCGTATATTGTCGAGCGTAGTCTTCTGTCATTTACACTGCTAACAGCTACGATTTAATCTTCTTAATGTATATAATTAGAATAACTCACTCTTCCCTTTCTTTCTTTTTAATTCCATGAACTTGCATTATGTATTCAATACATACAGTTTTGTCAACACGATATCGTTGCTATGTTAGACTTCGTCCAGCGGAATTTCTCTTAGTAAAATTTATCGCAATGGTACAATAATTGTTTTTCTTAACTAAGCGCACAGATAAATAGTAATATAAAGTATACGGATAAGTTTACATTTGAATTGGAAGAATTTCGAAATCGATCTCTTGGACCTCACTGCTGTTATTACCGTCCATATCTAAAAGCTGTCGGCGTTATCTAGTTAACGAGCATAGATACTGCATAGTTATTTCCTGGACCACGTTCCGTTGTAAAACGATGCTTACTCTCGCTTCGTTGCGGCGGTTTGAATAAAACGAATCACGAAGGCGTCGCGGTGGAAGATCGATCTAAGATTAATGATGCGTGTATATACGCGCTACTTTTGCCCGTGCGTGCAGTCGGTCTTTAAAGCGATGCCACTCCACTTCTTAGTCAATAACGCGTGAAACTCCGAGAACATGTGCAACGACAAATGCGAAAATTAATCTATTTTTAATTAATGTTTAAAAAAAATATGACAAAGCAATATTTTATATTGAAAATTTTAAAAGATTAAGATTATTATTATTATATTGATGTTCCGATTTTCATGCTATTTAGAGGAGCATGATATTTTTAAAAACTAATGCTGAGGATTTTTACTGAAGAAAGTATCATTGCTGTGCATATTATTTTAATTTTTGACTTGTAGCCAATGTTTATAAAAAGCTGCGGATTATTGTGCAATAGAATCATTTATTCAGACTATACTGCTGTGTTAGGAGGCGCTATTGTCTCTGTTCGGAAGAATCAAGAACGATATAGTATAATTGTCTATTTCCGTTTCAGGGTACTGGGGCTACCACAGGCAGGGTTCTTGCCAGGCTGGTTTAGGAGCCGCGATGTCTAAGGTAAGTCAAAAAATTACACAAGTTTTTACTTACAACATATAGGAGATATCAAAATTTTTCAATTACGCGAGATATCACGATACGAAAAATGCTATCTTAAAATTAGGCGCTTATTTAACTCTTAGAATATTTACAAAATTATCTCTAGCTGTTGAAAGTTATTTCAGAATGTACCTGAATCTTAACATTCTGAAGCTGTACAAAGGCCCGTATGCGTATCTTAGCAGTTCAAGTGACAATCCAAGGCGCATCGCGCGAATGTAAATACGCAACTCTCGCAGCGTGTCTCTCGGTGGTTGCGATGTCCTGAGAGAGTTAGAAGGCGACGACACGAGGGGGGTCGGCGTGGGCCGAATATGGCCAGGAATGCGAATTCCTATCTTACGCACCTCCGCCGTCGCATCGGGCATTCGTATTCGTGCCGTGGCGCATCCGCGCATGGTGCAGAGCACAGCCAATCGTCGGGACTCCTTCTCTCTTTCTTTCTCGTATACGATTGTCTTGTCGAAAGCTCGATTCTTCGTCGGTCGTCGCAGATCGCAGGTTCCGATGGGCCAGGGACCGTAGGCGTCTCGCGGATCTTTTGCTCGCTTTTCACCCGAGATGCATCTCTGGGTACACTTGCGTCCGGACGTGGGACGTTTGTTGCACCTGCACAATCCCCACGTGTTGATATACCCACTTCATCGTGCGGTCGACGTTGCAATAAATATCGGCGGCAGCCATCGACAAATCGGTAGCTGCCGCAACTTTCACCTGTCGACGCAATAATCATTCTTATTTTTTTTCTAAAACTGACGTAGACATTTCACGATAAATCATGATAATATTCCTTATTTAAATGTTTCTAAATGTTTTCCAGAAATAGCACTCAAGTTTGCATTTGAAGTATTGCAGAAATTGCATATTTTTTATCGACGATAGATCCTTTAACTATCTTCAATTATCCTTGTAGACAAAATTTTATTTAACGGCATTCTTTTACGCAATATTTTAACATAATATTTTATACAACAAAATTTGGAACGTTAATATGATTATTGGCAATGCAATAGAAAAGATATTAATCTTTATTTTTATGCTGAGTGCTTAAGTAATGGTTAAAAAAATTAACAAAGCCATTATCTACCATTCACAGAGCAAAATTGTTTTACGAGGCACGTCGAGGCGATCTTTTTAAAGCGAGAACGACTGCAACGCGACATACTTCTATCGTGCCGCGTTTTTCGAATCGTGTGTGACCTAGCGACTGTGATTTAATCTATCTTTCACTGTAAGAAATCCCACGCGCGAGCTCTCTCGTACTTATGCGTCGCAGCTAAGTAGCGTTATCGCACAGCGGGACGGGCTTCGATTGCCGCCAAAGAAATAGTAGGACAATTCCGCGGACACTCAGCCGGTTATCTTGCCGGGAATGTATAATTCAGAATTGCATGGCTATATAGCGGATGTTTAATGCATGTCGCGAGTCGTACTTTGACTTCTAGCTCCGTTTCAGCATTCAATGTTAATACTCCGCCCGCGCTCAATCCTTCTATGTTTGCTCGCTTGTTCATAGTGCAAACTGCAGATATTTTAATTTCTTGTACATTTAATAACTCCTCTTGATTGACACTTTTGTCTCTTATAGTAATTACGTACACTCTAAAACAAAAAGTTTTCTGACAGTAAAAATTAATTTTGATAAAATCACATTATAAACTGATAAAATTAGTTATCAATAGAATCTTTATTTTGCTCGTGCGATGCTCTTTTGATTCGTGTCATTATACAATACATCCAAAAGATTTTTTATTATACATTTACTTATATATCAAAAATCTATCGAATTGATGTCTGATATTATTTTTTTCATAAGAGGAGATTTCTATTAAAATTTTAATTAGAAAAATAAAATCTAGCAATTTTTATTACATACTCATATATAATTTATATATTGTTTTATTGTTAACAATTCGTCTGCGATAAAAATTGAATACTGTATAATGCAATGCAAGCATGAATTCGGATAAATCTGATTGGATAGAGTCGTGCCCCCATCGGCCCCCTTCTCTTTTTGGGAAACAAACGCCATTGTACGGCGACTCGAATACCGGGGAACTCCTCGAATGCGCTAAATCTCGATGAACGTGATTTAGAGGCCCTCTCGACGCCATCGAGAACGCAATGGACCATCGATCTTCGCGTTAAACCACCGCTGCTGGTACCAGCCTCTGTCGTGCCTGGTACCGCGGCTTATCCGGCGGACAATCTAGACGAGATCGATCGATAGCCGATCGCTATCAATCGATACGACTCGACTTCCCGTCCAGCTCCGTGCACGACCCCCGATTCGACGATTGAAATATAATCCCATGAGTTCCTTTTGTATGAACTTATTCTGAGTCCCTCAAAGAGAAATCGTTCTGAATTAGATTCGATGTGGATCGATTGGCAAGATCGTGCTGTACGATCTCTCGATGCTTCATTGCTATTTTGCGTTTTACGAATTAGAATGTTAGACAATATAATCATTATAATTCTTCCCGGATAAATATATGGGATATAAAAAATTCTTACTGTATTTTTCATATCTCATACTATTTTATAATACAGAAAATTATTATTTTTTACATTTCATAATTTGAGAATTGAATTATTATATTTAAAAAAAAACTACACAAATTAGTAGCTTTCGCAATTTTCTCTCAATATTGAATTATCTTCGTAATTTGAAATATCCATCATGCGATCTACGGGGAAAAAAACGCAATTTACAATTTTTCTCTTTCGATCGCTCATCCGCACAAACATTAGGCACTCGTCTATCCCGCATTAGCCTCGCTCGCAACAGTTTCTTGCTTTGTCAGAATCCGGGGGCCCCTTTTCTTACCCGGCGTCGTCGGCACAATCTCCCGGCTGCATTCGGCATGCACTTAACCGCAGCACACTTATAGACACGTGTGTGCACGCATATAGCCGCCGGCATAAATTTCACCGTGCCCCTCCGTACATATTTGGCCGCGTGGTTATATTTTAATTTCGAATGTGGTCTCCGCGTGTCTCCTTTTCCCTCTTCCTTTCTCCAACCCTTTTTTGATCGGCGCCAGAACACAACTCGTGCCAGTCGTGTTTCGTGTAGACGGGGCGCAGTCCCGCCGCCATTGTCTCGGTTGCAAATTTTTCGCGTGTATAAGCATCGGGCCCGAGCGTTACTCCATGGGGGGTACATCGTGTAAACCCCCCTTCGCCGCTATCTTCCCGCGCGCGTTCGTCGCACGAAACCCCAACGACAAATGCACGTATTTGCTTACTACTGTCCGGCTAATCTGTTTAGTGTATTCGAAGAGATAGCGGCAAGATTACGATATCTGTACGACGCCAACACGGAAGCTGAAGGCATTTTAGGATCCTTGTCTGCTTGAGAGATTAACAAAAGAATTTTAAAATGACAATCAAGAATATCTGTGATAATAAACCTAGCCAAATAAAGTATATCTACGAAATAAAGATATTCATCCACCGAGATTGAAAAATTACCTAACGTACGGACAGAGATATTTGTTTAACTCATCATTCACTATCCATCCTAATTACTTTTCACACTAACAGCGCATCGATCATTGTCTTCCCACTCATGTGAGTTGCGCGAAGCCGAAAGACGGACGAACCGGCCGCGGATCGACCTCTGATTCACCTCTCGGCGCGTCAAAAAACGCATTCTTCGGGTTCGACGAGCAGAACGGCGCGTTCCTCGGGGCTCGGGATCGAGCGAGCAGACCCTAGAGATGGATGGCGCCGGAACACAAAAGTTACGGCTGTTGCACCCGGTTGCACTCGCGGCCGCCGAGCGCTACATCGGAATCGCCGGCTGCTGGGTGTGCACGTGACTCGGTCGCACGTTTGACATTGTTCGGCCGACGAGGAGGGTCCATTGTTTCCGGACCGTGCGAATCGTTTGGCCCCATACACGCTGCGACTCACAAATAATAATATTTGCAGGACGATGAATAAAATACCGCATCGAAATGCGGCTGGCGCCAATCTAATGTGCGCGTACAAGTGCATTTTAGAACCCAAGTGATCTTTGATGCATCAAGTCGAGTGACAGAATTCATCTCGAGTTTTCGCGTCAGTAGTAGTTGTCGCGTCTTCCATTTTGGCTTTAAATCTCTGAATTTAAGAAAGAAATTTTCAAACATTAGGTTTAAGAGACTTTGAATTATTAAACTTTGAACTATTTAATCATTGGACAATTCATAGACTAATTTTATTAACTAAGTATTTAAAATTTGATTAAAAGTTTTTGTGTTAACATGATTACCTTACAAATGCAATTTCTTTGTTTTCTTCACAGAACGGAGAGATAATATTTAATGGCTCTTTAGCTTCTTATCAGAAAATTTGTTTTATTCTTTTAAGCTAGCTTTAATGTGATATTAATGACCGGAAATTTGGAAAATCTAAATCTAAATTGAGTAATCACACTTGTCACGATATAAGTACAACGAATAGAATATGTTAATTTTGTTAATCAAGTTATATTCTGTTTATTAACATTTTAACGTTCACTACTTATCTTATCTTATCAGGTGAGAGATGTGGGAGCTTGAATATTAATTTATTTGACGAAGAATAAAATCTTCTTACACCATGTACACGTTAGGAATTTGTGTGTGGACACTAATTCAATACAACTAGAAAGAACGCAGTGGATACGTTTTCACTGAATTCCGATAAGCAATCGCAAGTCCATTAGGACCTACGTAGTCAGTCGTTACGAACGACGACACCGCGCTGTAATTCTACCGGAATCGAGAATTTATGGTGTTCAACCAATGCATTTGTATCGGTTGGTTCTCTGATCGCTGCGCTAAGTAAACTTTCACGCCTACAAGATATCCATGGAGATATTATACGCCCGGAAGCTTTATTGTATTGCGGAGATTACGTATACAAAATTATTTAAAAAAATTTTTTTAACATAAAATAATTTGGATAAAAATAAACTTGGCCAGCTGCATTAATATTACAGTAATTAATAACAATTTTATCGAATAAGTTTAATTCGTTGCTGACGAATATTTAAATATGTAGAGAAAGATACTGACGTGACGTATCTTCTCTTTTAATTTTCAATACAAACAGTCATGTCAGAAACAAGATAATATACTTCATGATTTAAGAGTGCCTTCACGTTGCGAAATGAACTTTCCACCACGATACCCGCGTGACTGTCCGTCAACGTGTTAATCAGCTCTCCGTGAATATCTGTTTCCATCGGTATCTTCAGTCGGGGCAAAGCCGGAGAGACGGGCAGCCGTTCGTTATCGCGTCACTCGAGAACAGCACGTTCTTCCGACAAGGCGAAAAATTGGCGCCACCAAAGGGAAGAAACTCGCGTTGTCGTCGTCACGACATCGTCCACGCACGTTTAAAGCGCGTATATACCACACGTGATGTGTCTCTCGCTGTCGGGTTGCGGAGGTGGAAATCGGAGGAAAAAGAGCGAACAGCAGGAGAGTTTCAGGTGGCCATTTAAGGCTCGGACATTTCGTTCTGTCACCGCCGTACCGTGTTCGGCGCCGTGCAAGGAGGCCACCTACGCGCCAGTAGGATCCTCCCTGTACCCTCGCGACTGCGGCTGCATTGTTTTATAAACGGCCGCCGTTTCTCATGATAAGCAGAGTAAAACAAAACTAGACACGCGCGCTTCTCTTCGCCGCGAAGTGCGCACCTTTGCCATAGAGAAACGTCGTTCGCTTTCTACCGCATCTCTTCAGCATCCCCTTTCTTCAATCTCCCGGCGAACTTTACTGCAAATCGCAAATATTCCTCGAGTAAAAAATTTAGAAATGAAATTAGAAGAAATTAAATTAGAATTAATTTCTTTTTTCAAGAAATTGATTTATTATTTTTTACGAATACTTGATTTTTGACAGAGGATGACATAAGATCTTGATTAAATTTTATATAATGTTATTGAAGTCTAAACTTAGTTTGGCAAATTAAATTTAATCGAAAATTGTGCTACAATAGTTAATTTTTTGCTATAAATTAATGAAATATTAATGAATGTTTTCTTGCACCTGCCACGTTTTAAAGATTTATGATAATCATAAAATGGTTGCAACATATATTTATTATTATTATTATTAATATATTGTGTTATACTCCTTTTATTCGTCCCTTTATAATCTCATTAATTCCCCTCTGTGTCTAGAATTGCAGAAAGTAATAATGCGATTTTATGGTCGTGCTGGCGATACAAAACAACTTCGACCATAATCTAATAATCCCCGATAACATTATTCACTGCAATTACGAGATATCGCGTGTCGCGAAGGGAGAAACGTCACAAGGGCATCGCTGCGTAAAAATGGAATCTCGTGTTACACGCTTTCATTCGAGTTACCGTTTGCCTTCTCTTTCTCGATGTACTCGCATTAACGCGTTTCTCTCGTTTCCCACTTAATCCGTAGAAATTGCATCTTATTTCCCCTCAGCGGCGAATCCTTCGCGTGGGTGAGCACATCCGCGCGTGGGTGCATCCCGAGAGAGTGTAACGACATTATCATGTATTAACACTTTGATTCTAACGATATTTGTACAGAACTTGAGCAAATGTCAAATGAATTTTTAAATAGGCTCTTTTTCTTGCATGAGCGCGATATAATTTATTTAGAAAATATTCTGCTTACTTTCATCATCATATATATTTAAAAAATCCTTTAATAAATCTATTAGAATTAATGAAATTTAGATTAAATTTTATCCTTTAATTAATTTAGAATTAATTTCTCTTTTAAAAAATTTAATTAATCAATATTTTTTTTACGAATTTTTTATTTTTGACATAAAATATCTTGATAATTGGACTCGATATTAAAATTTTGTTAAAGCAAACTTTGTTCAGTAAATTTAACTTTAATTGGTAGTTTATTAAATATATTTGCTGCAATTATATCAAAAATAGATTTATATGTGATCATTAATATCTTTCTGTGATTTTAAATATAATATATATTTATACATTAAATTTATTTCTATCTTTAATCTTCAAAGGACAATGACATTTGTTTTGACAATGCGAATAGCGCGATTTGATCTGAATGTATAATCGCGCAAAAGTAGCCAGTGTTTCCCGTTCCGTTTTCTATCTGTCGTCATCCATATTGCATGATCTTATCGTGGAATGTACTTGCACATTCAGATTCTCCTACGATCATTCACGTAGACCGCCGATTAATATGTATGCGAGCCGTAATCTTTATTACTTCGGCATCGCCGTTATAGGTGGGTGCGTGGGAGTGCTGCACCGTTACGGTGCGTAAAATGTATACGCATCGGCGGCGGTGCATGGGCGAGTATACGCTGGTTTACAGGGTCGCGACCTCGACTACGAGAACTCCAGCTTGTTTTTTTTTTTTTTTTACCACGAGAATATAGCACGGAAATTGTTGTAATAATAATTACCAATTCACAACGACAAGAGAAAGATGGATTGTTTGTCTGTAAGATACGCCGGGGAATAAGTGGAAATTAGAGGGAGCTGGAACACGCACCTATTATCTTGTTGTTCGTTGATTTTTACGTAGCGCTGGCTGAAGATAATTCGCGATGTAAGATACAAGATAAATGTATGTCTTGTTTTTCTCTAATTTTTATTTACCTCGGTGTATCTTGGGTCTTTGCGTAATTTTTTCGTCATAGATTTTTTTAGTCTAGTCGAAACCTGAAATACAAGATAATTAATGCTAGAAAAAAAAATACTCTCTCTGAATGTACGAGTGGGTGAACTTCCGCAATTTCACTTGGATTCAGTGAAGGGTCGAATACAGTATCCGTTTCGTAAGTGCTAACTGTGATGAAGTACACTTTCGATACATTGCATGGGAATGAGGGGCGCAAAGGGTCAACAGCGTTGAGCGTACGTCGACAATTTCGAGAGCCACTCGAGTTCTCACGTACCGATTCAACGAGGTCTTGCATCGCAGAAGGCGGTGTGTGAACCTCTCGAGATGGTTTCTCTATCTCGCGAAGAGCGTTACTTTAATCATGTTCTGCCCCGAGAGAGAAAGAAAGAGGTATCTCGTTCCGGAAAACACACACGCGGGAGAATAAACGCGATATTTACTCAGAGTCAACGTCACAAATGAAATTCTTGTTTTATTTCTCGTTTTAAGCAAGCCGCGCCACGTTTCCGCTCCACAAAGTGGCTCATTCGTTACGTCTGGCCTTTCGCGGATACATTGAAATAGTGCGTCGATTTTTCCACGCCTCTCACACTCGAGGACCGCCGGCGTTGTGTGACACAGTGTCGTACGTTTTTGGAGAACGTTTAAGTCGCACGACGCTTGTGCTCGCATTGTCGGCGCTGTCGCACATCGGCCGCATGCCGTTCGCGATTAATAATTTTCGTACAAACACAATGAGTACAAGCTGTGTCGCGTATCCAGTGGTCTTTGCGGCGCAAACCACTGCGGTTTCGCGCGCATTCAACTGATGCTGCAAGACAGATGTTGCACGACAAAAGCACGGTTACTTCTATTACGTATTACAGTCATAAATAATGCAAGCTGTACTGCGGTAATGCCCCTTGCGTGTACTTATCGCATTCGCGGTGTTTGTCCATTTTCACAACTCAAATGTTTCTTCGATTCCGGGTTCTTGAAATTTTAACTTGATAAATTTTCAGCTTCTATAATCTTTTGTACCTAATTAAATCTAATTAAACACGGGATGGAATAAAATACTAAATTAAAAATTAGATATTTTTATAATAAACTATTAAATTAAAATTTTTGAAACAAAAATAAAAAATAAAAAATAAGATATAATTTAAGCAAAAATAAATCAAATTATACATTTATTATATTATACTTATTATACATTTGCATTCATAAAATTTGATTTATGAAAAATATTTAATTTATTTATTGGTACATGTTGCAATTAATATAAAATTATTACAAAGTGCGAATCATTAGAAGTGCTGAGAAAATTTCGTAATGGAGCATAATGTAGCTTAGAGAGTCAAGAAAAAACCATGACTGGTAAGTTGTGTTCGCGGTGCCTTTGGACGTTTTATTGTCCGATCAAGATGCTATCGATCTTTCTATTCTTGTGTAGCGATTTTTCTTGTCGCACATCGGGAGACTGTGGCGCTTCGTACCGAGAAGTCTCTATCGTGAAGGCCACCGCGGTTTCTTGTACGTTTAACATGCGTGACGCGGCTGTGTGCAAACGCGTGCAGCAAACGTGCGGCTTGCATATATACGAGCGCTTGATTTATCGCATCTCAGGCTCGCGCGCACGAGCCCTCCCCTATCTTGCGCGCGGTATTATCTTATAAATTAAAAAAGAGAAAAATTAGACTTTCGTGGGTGCGTTCGTTTCCTGGTTGCATGCCCGAGGCGTAGCATATCTGTTTCGTGAAGTGTATCATCTGCAATAAAAGTAGAAAATAATATAAGTATAATTAAAAGCGAGAAAACGCGTTGTAGAGAATAAATTAGGCCTTATAAATAAATAATGATGGTGAAATGGAAGCGTTTTGCAACTCCGAAATATCTCCCATGATTCATAATAAGAAAAGAAATGTACTGAGTTACCTTTCTGTTTGTTTCAGAATGGCGAGAGACTCTTTATAGGAGCGCCAGGCAGTTACTACTGGCAAGGTAAGATTCTTATCACACGGACCTTCGCTCGTAAGAGATAACATCCATATATCTTGGGATGTAATTTAAATCGGCCGAAAATCTTTTCGTTAAGCCAACATTGACGTTCATTATTTTTCTTCTTTTTTTTCTATCAAAATTATCTGATCTCCACGACGTGGCGCGACTGAACGAGAGCGGAGTAGCGGATGTTTATTAGCGATTAGAAATGTGTGACTCGATTAGAGGTCTCACTAATAATTCAGAGGGGAATTTCCTTTAACAAATTGCAGGTCAGGTATACTCGGTCGCCACCGCCATGAAGTTGAAGTTCGTGGCGACGATGTTAGTCACCGAAGCGGAAGCATCAGGTACCGCGTACATTTGCAGGCGTCCCCTCGTAATTAAAATACCCGACCGCCACCCTCACCCAGCCCATTTCTAATAAGCTACCATTCTCTCTCGTATTGACGATTTCTTACGTCCCAAATTAACAATCTGTTGCTTGTCGGCCTTTTTCCGAGAGCCGGCGCGAAAGCCGGCGACAATAATTCGCGTTAATCGCGGAAAAGCGTCTTGGGAGGCCGGTGTCGAGCAACACGAGAGAGTATTTTTCACCCTCTTCACACTTGCTTGGCAGTAACTCTAATCATTCGTCATCATGCTTAACACGACGCTTGTTATTAATCACGTAATTAAAAATCGATGAGAGTTTAACCATGCCCATTGAAACCTGAAAGTACGTTAAAATGACTCATCCACACATGTTGATTGGGATGATTCAGTTTGTGTATTTTAGATATATTTACATGTTTAATAAATGAAGTAAAATTAAAAACACTTAACAAATTAGAATTGTTTCTATGCTTCGTTTGTTTCTGACAAATAAAACTCAGCCGTAATAGCGACAATTAACGCGAAGCGCCCTGTTCTTTTGTAATTACTGCCAGATAAGTGGTGGGTGATTTTCTAACAGGTGCGGGCTTCCCGCTTCTTACAGCTTCAGATGCAGCAAGAGCCGCGGTAATACGGATCCAACTAGAAAGCTATAATACCCTTAATCGGCTGGCGAGTTTGCGCCGACGTTGCTACATAGTGACGACCGCTTGATATTAATAGCGAGAACAAACGCTAGATTAATATAATAGAGAAGCAGCTTGTCAGTTCTCATGTTTATCTGATGTTGTTTTCACAAAGTTTTGTGCATAAATTGAAATATACTTAAATTGCATTAATATTAATAATTTGTTTTAAATTAATTGTGCAAATATGTTTTGAATATTACTCTTTGCGCGGTAAAAATTCACATCGATTACGAAATTTTGTGAAACGACTTGTGCAAGCTATTTCTTGACTGCAGCGAAGGCTGTCACAGCCTTTCAAATATCTTCGACTATGGCCGCGGTCACGAAAATATTTGCATTCCCATACATCTGCGATGTTCCTTTTATTAACATCATGAAATCGTTTTTTAGGACAAGCATTCTCGCAGCCCTTGAACAGTCGATCGAAAATAATGTTCACGAAAGAGGGTCCCGCGAAGGAGGACGACAGCTATATGGGTTATTCCGTTGCGACGGGAGATTTTATTGGGAACGGCGATAGCGGTACAGCGATCGGAGTTCCGCGCGGTTCCGATCTTCTGGGAAAGGTGTGTAGAGAAATACCGCGTTGTACATTAAAATACGAAAATAAAATACAAAAAACGTAATGACAGATTGTAGTGCAAAATGTTAAAAAAATTTAGTTGCAAGAATTTCTGTAAATTCGTGGAATATTTTGGGCTCTATTTAAATGCAAATACTTTGTGCAGAATGTAATCTAATAATTTATAAAATGAAGAAATACGTCAATATGTTTTACACGACTTCATATAATAAATACGATTCATAAGAGTCGTGTTAAATAAGCAAAGATTTCATCTGCGAGAACACAGAATTTACATGGCGACTAATCTGTGTGCCGTTATACGGACTGACGTTAAAATACAATCGCAGGTCATACTTTTTACGTCCAACATGACGAATCCTCGAAATGTCACCGGCGAACAGATGGGCGCTTACTTTGGTTACGCCGTGGCTTCTGGCGATATAGACGGAGATGGGTTGGATGACCTGATAGTCGGTGCACCCATGTACACCGTCCCAGATAACCCGGAAATGACCATCGAGACTGGAAGGATCTACGTTATCTATCAGGGCAACAGTGCGGAGAAGTTTCGCAAGTTCGATACGAGGTAACAAGATTTTACAAGTATTTCGAGAAAAAACGGATAGATAAGAGGGAGTGAGAAGATTATTGTTATTTATAACTGCATAGAGAAATTTTCCACGAAGCAGAGATGCTCGAACGTTTCCGCTACTCTCAAGTTCATCAACGACTTTGACCCCGAAGAGTTGAATAAGCCCTGAATTGCGCGAGTTCGTTGAACCACGTTGCGATAAACCTTATCGTTATCCAGAGACGGCGGGAGCAATCGCGGACGTTTCGGCTTGTCGCTGGCCTCTCTCGGGGACATCGACCGTGACGGTTACGGTGACTTCGTCGTCGGCGCGCCCTACGCTGGTCCAAACGGTCGCGGTGCCGTCTACATCTATCACGGCTCGCGGACCGGCGTACTGGAGAAGTACTCCCAGGTGATCCATGCGGAGGATCTGGACAATCCGGTGCAGACCTTCGGATTTTCTGTGGCTGGCGGGCTCGACCTCGACGGCAACGTCTATCCGGATCTGGTGGTCGGCGCGTACGAGTCGGGAGCAGCAATGTTCTTCAGGTTATTGTCGACTTCTTTTCGATTCAAGCTTGATTCAATAAAAATGACACCGATTTTTAAACGAACTTTGTGTTCTTTAGATCGCGGCCCGTCATTAAAATGGATTCCTTTGTGACCTTCGACTCTGAATCGAAGCTGATCTCTTTGGACAATAGAAACTGCACGCTCTCGGATCACACCAGGGTCACGTGTCTTTCGCTCAAGGCATGCTTCAGGTACTCGGGAGAGGGTGTTCTTATGAGGCACAATTTCAATATACAGTATGTGCTCGACGTGAAGAAGACGAAGAATCCGAGATTATTCTTCCTGGAATCGGAAAGCAAAAGTACGATGAATCATACGATCACGGTCGAACGCGACCGTCAATTCTGTCGCACGGTCCAAGTGAGTGGATTTATTTATTTTAAAAAAAAATCACATTTTCTAAAGTGACATTTGAACAATTTTTGCATTTTTTTAAAGGTCTATGTGACTCCCAATATCCGCGACAAGTTAACATCGTTGGACGCCGAGATGCGCATGAGTCTGGAAGGAGAACGAAGCCCGGATAATCGCCGTCGTGATCCGAGGATACCGCTGAGGCCAGTTCTCGGCGTGACGACCTCCAGGAAGGACACTCTCTCTATCAGGAAGAACTGCGGTCCCGACAACATCTGCATACCCGACTTGCAGCTCACCGTCAATTCCAACGTCGGCAGATACTTACTGGGATCCGGCAAGAGATTGGAGCTCGAAGTGCTGGTTCAGAACGCGGGCGAGGACGCGTTCGAGGCGACGTACAATCTGCAGCTGCCGACCGGCATCGACTATATCAAGATCGAGCGCAGCGAAACCATCCCTTTCCCGGGGATCCCCGTTCAGTGTTCCGCGCCTAAACAGTCCAACAACAATACTTTACGCTGTGATATCGGAAATCCACTGCCTAAGAATGAATTGGTAAAGTTCAAGGTGTTGCTTCAGCCTGTGACGTCTCACGGGATGAAACCCATCTACGAGTTTGATATGAATGTCAACACAACGAATCCCGAAGACGACGCAACCACCCGTGACAACAACCACCATTTGTCCTTACCGATCTGGATAGAGACTGATTTGCGCGTCGACGGCGAGAGCAAGCCCAAGGATCTGTACTACAATCCTGACAATTACACTGCCGTGAATGTTACGACGGAGCTCGAATTCGGGCCTGCGGTGACGCATAATTATACGATTCGCAATCAAGGCCCGTCGGACATCATCGAGGCCGAGGCGTTCCTCGTGTGGCCCGCGCAGACTTTATCTGGAAAAGAACTGCTGTACCTACTGGAACAACCGGAGACTGCGGGACTGATTGCTTGCGAACCTGCCAACGCGAATTACCTTAGTTTGAAGGTATGCAGAATTTTTCGCAGAATATATTTAAAAAATTATTATTTATAAGATTATATTATAAATTATAATTATTTAATATGTGAAATATAATTGATTGTAAGAATCAAATGTATAGAAACTAATAATATTATCATATCAAAATTATAATTAATGAACTTACACTATTTCTTATTTTATCGTTCTTGAATGAAAGAAAAATTATAATGATGCATTTCAGCTGGATCAGCGCAGAAGAGTGCATTTAAATTACGCCGACTTCTCTGGCGTGATCCTAGACGAGTCGCAATCAGGCGGAACGATCAACATTCAGAGAGGTTTCGAGGTAGACCGCAACAAAGCGAACCAGAAAGAAGAAGCCGAAATCAACAGTGGCGACAGCTCGAATATTCAAAAATCACGGCATTCCTCCTCGTCGTCCTCCTCCTCTTCTTCTTCGAGCACGGTCACCGAAACAAAAAGGATTCAATTGAATCCGACAGGGGAAAAGCCCGAAGTGCTCACTACAACATATACACAGAATTCTTCCGGAACTAACTCGATAGGTGCTGCTGATTTATCCAGCAATCGCGGCGCCGTTTTCCACGCGGAATCCGGCGGTAGTTACGGTTCCACTTTGGGTGGAGGATTCCGCGAGAGCGAAGAGGAATCCTTCGGCTCGAGGCTATCCGATCTTGAAAAGCCCTACGGAGCTCATGTGAATCGTTCTTCCGCCAGGATAGAAAATCGCTGGGACGAGAGCAGTGAAGTGCACGGTGGTCGTACAACCTTATCTTCGGGAAGAACCCACTCGATCCTGACCGAGAGCGAGAGGCGGTATCAGGAACTGTTGCGGCAGCAGGAAGAGGCCCGTTTACGCCAAGAGCAAGAAGCTCGCCAAAGGAAAGAGCAAGAGCAAGAAGAGGCGCGTCTAATACAGCGTCATCGGGAAGAGCAGGAACGTATCTTGGTTTTGCAACGTCGTCGTGAAGAGGAGGAGCGACGTCGGCAGGAGGAGGAACGACGCCGGCAGGAAGAGGAAAAACGCCGAGAGGAGGACGAACAACGTCGATACGAAGCGGAACGACAAAGGGAGGTGGAAGAACAACGAAGACAGCAAAAGGAACAACGGCTGCAGGAAGAGAGGGAACATCGGTACAACTACGATGAGGAAAAACGCTATGGCACAATCTCGGGTGGCCAACACCGAACTACGGAAAGTGATTTCATCACCGGCGATCGCGAAGAAACAGTTGGAGGAGGGGAATTTGGTTTTCGAACGTTGCACAATGTCAGTTCCACGCAAGAACTCGAGCGACTCTTCGGCACCTTGTCGAAAGACAGGGCTAGTTATCAGGTGTTCACCAGGCAAGGACAGCAGTATGTGCAATTCAAAGCTAGATTCAGGACGTCCGCTGATAGGAAGGAGTATATAGAGTTCCAAGACGGCTCTATGTTCTCTCTTCAGGATCGTTATGGCGGGCAGAGCTATGTCTCGGAATCCATAGAGCCTCGCGACAGTCGATTTCTCAGGATGGAAGGTCGGCTGCTTATCACCCCGGACGGTAAAAGATATATCGTGCTGAAAGACGGTCGAAGATTCCCTCTTCAGGGCTCCTTCACGTACACTGAAGAGAGAACGTACACCCTGCGCGGTCCACAGGATGATTATCAAGGTGGCAGTACCGATAATCAAGGTCAAAGGACTTACGGCCAATCTTGGCGTGAAGAGTCATCCAGTCATGGTGCAACTTCGGACGGAGGTTACGAAAGCAAGTACAATACGCGCACACACGAGGAGAAACGAACGGAGGAGAGAACAAGCAATACCAGAGTCTACGGAAGAGATCGGTATAACGATGATTTCCACACCGAAAAATCAGATCCTAATCTTCTGAGCTCGAGATATAGACGCGAGAGCGACATGGTCGATGTTGAAGAGTTCAAGAAGTTCGAGCGGCTCCACAGACATCGACGAGACCTCGAAACGGAGGACTTTCTGTCGAGTAAACCTACGTTCCAAAGCGACGATTATTATGAGAACGACCCCGAATCGCTGGAACCGATTCAACCTTGCGATGGCACGAAGTGCGTGATGTTGCGATGCGTGCTGGGTCCGTTGAAGAAAGATCAGGAGGTCTGGATCGGCGCGAGGTATCGCGTGAACGCCAAGACCCTGAAAGAAGTTGCGTTCGAGGAGAAGGTGAAGGTGTCGACGAAGCTGGTGGCGCGCGTCACGAAGCAACCGTTCATCGGTACACCCACGCAACAAGTCATCAGGAGCGATGAAGTTATCACGAATATCGAACCCAGCGTATCACCTTCCACCCCGGACATCATTCCAGTATGGGTGGTGGTTCTGTCGGCCTGCGCGGGAATGATAATCCTGTTGCTGCTCGTCTACTTGCTTCACAAGGTTAGTCCAGGCATCTATGCGATGACAGAAAATTAAAAATTCTTTAATATATCTTTAGTTATTTCTAGCGCATTTATTTCAGTGATATTATTGTATAATAACCAAAAATAGCTATAAGTGCGATTAAGATTCGGAAACGTCCACAATAATTATCAAATTTTATTTATTATTTACAGTGCGGATTCTTCAAGAGGAACAGACCTTCCGACGCCCCAGAGAGGCAACCGTTGAACCGAAACGGCCACTTCCAGCAAGGCGAGGAACACTGAATGGCCTTTTCTTCCGCCTTTGTTTTGTCGAAGCTTTCGACACTCCGGCTATACCGGATCGAATTGTAGGCGAGTCGAAAACCTCGGCTACATGGTCGAACCACGAAAAGTGCCTTGGTCTTCGGATAATCAAGTGAGCGCACATTGCGTGGATTCATTCGGTGTAGTCTGCGGACGCGGCTTTGATTTCTCCCGAACATCTCGATAGCATATCTCATTAGTGCCTTAATCCGCGTTCAGGCAAGACGAGTGCTGAGGTGCGTTGAAACGTCGATTCTGAATGACTATAGATTCGTCACTCGTATACTGCCACTGAATACTCCTTCCAGCTCCTGCAGCTCGACCATGCAAGTTTCTAGTCAGGAGACGTTCTTCTTTTTTTTTTTATTACCTGTAATTACTTAAGCCGTGCGTATAGTCGGCGGATACGAATGAATATCTTGACATTCTTCGACGAAAATCGTATCTTCATGTATATAAGTATATATATATGTTATTTTTTGTACCGTTATCCGCGGTAGAGCGCCTTAATACGTGCCTCGTTGCTTCCGCTGCTTTTTCACGGTAGAATAGAATTAATTATTTTTCTATACGCGTTCGATCTCTAAAACGATCTCGTATCTCGCCGAGTTGGGTTTGGAGTTCGTTCAGTGCCGAAAATGTCACCGTAGAACTCTTCTGCAAGACTCCTTTTATACGAGACATTCGATGACTGAACACTGAACGCTATTATTTGTTTAGTGCTCTGTCAGCAGCGTTTCGAATTATGACTCGTCTAAAAGGGATCTCAATCTCTTTCGAAAGCAGTCTCGAAAGCGCACGGGGCTTTCTGATTATTTATTAAATTTCTATGTCATAATGCATAACATACGCTTGAGCGTCGTAACAATAGCGTGGCTTGCTGTCACGCGTGCAAGGTGAATGTGTGTACAATCTGTAAATTATTAATTTTCGCGTTACTAAAGCTATCCATAAAAAATGGCTTCTTAATGCAATAACATCCAATTAGAAAGAAAACTTTCTTATATGAATAGGAAACTTTCTGTATGAATAGGAAACTAGAACTGACTTGTACATACAACGTTAAGATATAATATTAAAAAAAATATACATATAATGACATTAACATTATATATTTTGCGTATATTGTTAATTTTCCTTCTGATATAAGACTATTCAAAGCAGCTTCGAATGAAAGGAAGAAAAATTGCATTCGATGAATTTTACAACCATTTATTGTAAAATTACAATGTCCAGCGGCTGGCATAAAACAAATGCTTGATTACCATCAACATCATGTCTGTGCTATTTATTCACCGCATTGATCGTTCCCGCTGAAATCGGTGTATAAGTTACATATTGTGCACAAATTATAAGAAAATTCCTCCCGATATAAAAAAATATATACTTCATTAATCTTGTGATTTTTTTTTAGATTTGGACAGTATCCCCCATATTTTTATTGGTAAAATGTATATAAAAATAATCTATAATGAGTACAATTGTCGGTTTGTAAAATATGCTACCATCTTCGTTAATAGATTATTTTTCCTCGCGTTTTGAAAGCTTCACACAAATGGATCAGTTTCGAGAAATGACAATGAATAATTATAAATGTAGTTTGACATGAAGGTGATTGCATGCGCATGTACAATCAAGGAAACCGAAATCCATTGGAATGAAGTAAATGTCTTATAAAATACCTACTTGAAATCCCGCTCCGCAAAATCGTACAAAAGTTAATGCGCTAGAGAAAATACGTATAAAAGAAAAAAAAAATTAGACATTACGTACTTACAAATACATAATTCAGTTATTGCTACGGTGTACCGGTATTACTGTATTATAACTATTTATGTCTACACTCGGCGATTGTTTGATAAATCGGGATGGAATACGTTACTTTTCATATACAAATATTGTACGAGAAACAGGAAATTAAAGTGAATATTGATATTCTGTCGGGCAGTGCGGAATCGTAACTGCTTCCCAAAACGCCAATATTATCAGATAATATGTACAGTTTGGTGTCGCGTTTAGAAATTTGAGCGTGTTGCTAAATCACGATCAAAAATTTTCTCGTTCAATTTTCCTAACCAGCTGTATATGCGATCAAGACGGATAGTGACCAAAATTTGTCGTGTTATCTTTGAATAATATGTTTATGTACACCGCAAGTTTGATAAACGTATGCAACAATAATCTGACACACGAGTAAAACAATACGAAAATGAATATAAAAAACGAATTCTTGTATCTGCAATTCTGTCAGATTCATGTCACGAATTTAAGATTCCATCTAATAATATTGCGCGTGTATTGAATATATTTCTTCGCAAATGATTGATTTTGTGTGTGCGATTGTTTTTAAAATTGAACTAAACATCGACACTTTATCAATGAACGCAAGTATCGTCCACCGAGTGTTACCTTTCAAACAATGATATTGGAAAATGGACACATGTGAAGATTCGTATCATCTAATCATCATTATCACTATCGATTTGATCATCTATATCCTTGTATGTGTTATCCTCATATCAGCTGTCAGGGACCTGAAACCAAGCAATGTTTAAAGGATGAATTTAATATCGACAACATTTGATATGAAAAAAAATTTTTTTTTTCTAATTTTTGTTCTCACTTTCCACTGTAACTGAGTGCCCACTTCGTATAATTCTTTGAGTATTTCCCTCAGTGTGCCGGAGCTTTCCAATTCCTTGTACTTGCGATACAATGCTAACGCCGCTCGCGCGTCCTCGGTTGAATCGTGAGTTTCAGACTGGATCTTTTTACCCAAAAAATGCCAAGTCAAGAAGCGTAGCGACACCATGCGATGATGAGGTAAGTGGAATAACAAGACTGTATCGACTATTTGCTCCGGCGGCACCACTAAATTTATTACCCTACAAAAATCACGCGTTTAAATCAAAAGTCGTCATTAATGATAAATTTCTGTCGTGAATACCAAGTGCTTCACCTAAAATCATTTTTCAGGCCGTGTCCGACAAAAATTATGCCATTGTCCACTAAAAACCTCAGCTTTTGATACGTCGATTTCAAAGTGGTGAGATGTTTGCTGCTAAAATTCGCGTCTAAATCACCCGGTTGAATTCCACTGAACTTTGTCAGATAGTCGACTACCTGTTCCTGCGTACTTATGTAATCGTCTATAAACGGTGTACCTTCCAGCGGACCTTGCCTATTCATTAAGAAACGGAGAGATTGCTTAAAATATTGTATTATCGTTATAATCACACTGTGATCATTATATAGATCGTACCCGCGTATACAAGTGATTCGCGCAACTGACATATGACTCGGTTTTATAGTCGACATTTTTCCATCGCTTCGTAGCTCGGATTCTTCCTGATTTAAGGTGACGAATTCCGCATCGATCCCTACCAACTCTCCTATAACAAAAATTTGAACATTTATAGAACGATTCGTGTACAAAATCAAGCAACTATTAAATGAATTAAAATTGAATAGTATATTAAAAATAAATTTGCACAAATACATAACAGTGACGATGGAGAGATACCTTTTTTAGGCATCTCGTCGGACGATAAAGGGGTAAACGTAATGCCTCTGGTTCCGCCGCTACGAGCGATACACTTATCTTCTCCGAACACATCGTACGTAAGGGGACTGATAAGCGGTGCCGGTTCGGGCGCGGGTATCGCCGTGTAATGAAGTACACACGGCACTTTCCATTCAAGATTAAACCACACCGCTTCCTGCGGTGTCACCGGCGATATGCTATAATAAGCATTGTGTAAAAATAAATGACATTAAAGCGCAGACAATTGCTTTCGGACATAGGACTCACCAAAAATCATTGAAAATATACCACTGCGAGACAGCGTTGCCCGCCGATCGCTCGTGAAAATATGGTCCGACTCGTAACAGCGTTACAATATTTCTCCGTTCCTCGTTATTCTTGTCGTCGATGTAACAGACAACAGCAGTTAAACCGTATTGTACTTTTTGCGTATTACTAGAGATTTCCGGATTTGTACTTGTTGTCTCGCCATCCTCCGCATTCGTTACTACGTTACAATTTTCAACGCTCTCTTCAACATTGCCGTCTCCGACGTTCTCGGAGATTTGTACCTTATTGTCGTTTTGGCCGTTCTCCATCGTGCTCACTCGCGCAGATGTGTCGTTATTTGATTCGTTTTTCGGTTCGCTAATTTTGTGAACCGATATCTCACCATTGTCCATGAGGGAGATCTCTATGTTGTGAGGTATCCAGGAATGTGAATAATACAAATGACTAGGGGGTGGTGTAGCAGCCGTTGACGAGGTAGATGGAGTAGAAGGTGACGTTAATAATTTTTCCGTCTCTGTAAGATTGATATTGACGTTAATTAATGTTACATGCGACAAGAAGATTCATATTTGAATTGCATACCTGAATCACGACCGACGTGCCTGAATCGACATCCAACTCGGGTGCAATTATTGCCGTATCGACAAGGTTTCGCAGTGACAGGCACAGGACTGGAACTAGGACTGCTCTCCTTCCCCGTCAACACATTTTGTACTACAATGTCTGTTTGATTCTGCCAAAACGCCTTGTCCTGTAATAATTCGGTATCACGTGACTTTGCGCGAATGCGGCGCAGCGTGTGGCATCATGCTTTGATTTTGCACGCGCTACAATCGTACGTCTTATCTCGTGTTGTAAGTACCTGCTGAGTATCTAAGCCGCAGTTTAGAGCCAGTATTTGAGGTAGTTTAGTCAATTGTCGAGACTGGAGAGTAGGTGTAAATTTCTGGCAATGGTCACACCATGCGGGTGTAATTTTCTCAGGTCTTAAACTGCGGGCAAGAACACTTGTGAACGGTACCTCTTCAGCTACAAAAGGTAAATCTGTGTATTCAGCCGCGAGTGCGGATGCACGCGTTCGGCTAAGACCGCAGGAAAAGTTGGTTGAGCGTGTAGCATATCCAAAACTCCGAATTTTTATATTTCGGAAGTTACGATCCGTTGGATTTCATTATTTTGGACACTTTAAAACGCAAAAATTGTATTGTCAGACAACGACACAATTTTTTTCATGTTGTTTCACTTTCAAAATACTGGAATCCGTAAATACATAGCTAAAAAGTTTCAAACATTTCACACGCTAGACTCACTTTCCGTTCGGCCGAAGCCTTAGACACGTATTATTTGATGATAGCTTACAAGGACTGACTATTTCCGGATAAACTAAATTACAGAGTAACATGATGGAATGTTTCGTAGCTTCTTGCCCACATTTGAGACAGCGATGTATGTGCATTTGTTCTGATCCAAATAGACGACTGATCTCTGTTTCGTCATCTCGCACTTCGTTCTCTTCGGTGGATTTTTTGGTGTTCTTGTCTACCCGTGATAAACGTGCGTTTAAAGAAAAAATAAGCGAATATTATTGACGGTAAGTACAATTGGATAAACAGATTTTATTCGTTGAACGAGATATGTGTGTAACGTTTTTATCTACAATGATATCCACAACTATTTATGATTTTTGACATTTTGTAGTAATAGTTAATTTATATCATATATTTTTATTTAAGACATTATATTCAATTCAACAAGTTTGTTTTCTGACTTTTCTAAAAATGAAGTAATACAAAATAGACATTATCAAGATATTTCAAGTCTCAAATAATAAATAATTTTACACTTCGATCGTTGATACTTTTGACGCATGGATGTCAATCACATTTTGAAATCCCAGGATTCTTGTGTAAAAGCAAAATCATGCAACTTTTGGAAATTAAGGTATAAGGGTTTGGCTGCCTTACTATAAAAAAATATACAATAATATACAATAAAGCATCTTAAGGAATAACAAAAGCATCGCTGCAACTTATTGATTCAATATAAACTCAAAACAGATCTATACATTATAAAAGAAAAATATAACGCGTACGTTAAAAAAGCTCCAGTTGTAATATCCGAAGATTTCAAGATTATAAAATCATTTTAAAACATATCTTATTAAAATAAATCCATTTCTGATATCGTCATAGAAGATTATGCTTGCAATGACATAGCTTTAATTGCTTCTTGCTGTTCTTCAGATATATCGCTGCAGCTTTGGATCAAATAAACAGGACCAAATAATCACATACAAATTGAAAAATAAACACAAAAGTGCCCAGTGCAAAGGTTACACATAAATTGTGTTTACCTTTCGATGTGATCCACATATATTTACCATCCTCCTCCTGTTTTCTCTTTTTTTTCCTCTCTTCCTCGTGGCTCCTATATCGAGAACCAAGATCCTCAAGGATGCTGGGAAAATCCTGTTCGTTATAAATGAATGGAGGATACTTGGAGCCCGATTTAAGTCGCGCTGCCTCTTTTTCCTCCTGCTGCCGCTTCCTTGTTTCCAGAATCTCGTAATGTATTTGATGTAGAATAAATCTATTCCAACTCTAACATAAAATTTATATCATGAGTAACGTTTATGTTATCGTATTATCAAACGAAAAGTTTGAAATATTCACTTTTGAAAATATGAATGTAACAGACATTCATGCGTCAAATAAATTATAATTTGAAATATATTTTTCCATCAAATAAATGTAATTGTGTTTTATAACTCTTTCGCTCTTCGTTACACTTTTCAATTATTTATAATTATTATCATACTTGTATGAGTCTAATCAGACTGATTTTTTTCTTAGCTTCCGGATGCAAGTCACTCAATATGAGTCCCAGAGCCGCAGCTTCGGGCACAGTCCTGAAAGCTCTGAGAAAATTCGCGGCTTGACAGGGTAATCCTCGTGATATATCCAGCATGTGAAACAAGAATCCCAATTCGCAAGAAAGACAGAATTCTCGTTGGCATGAGTGCGAGAGCAATGCTATCCTTACAGGTTCGCAATAGAACAACAACTGTAAAGTACGAACATATGCCACTGATCGATGACCCGCTCTAATTTCATCATTCCTTAACTAATTTCGGGCTTTATAGTCTTGTTGAGATGTACTTACCTGCAGCATAGCATTGCAATAACTGTTAGGAAGAGTGGCCTCCAGGCCGCAGAAGCTGGTGCGATTGTACTGATCGAAATCGAATTCGTCGTAACCGAGCCGTGAGTATTTCAACTCAATTTTACGGTAACGCTTAGGTATGGCCACAAAGGTGCCGTCATCTGTTTTAGACCGTGAGTCCCCCGCGAAAGGCTTCGCGACTAAGCCACGTCGTTTTTCCAAATTGTACGGTATCTGCAAAAGAGGTATTATTTATTTTTATCCCAGTGAAAATGCGTTGGTTGTTTCGCTTCGGAAGGTCTGCTTTATGCATTTTGCTTATGCGCGTGTAAACGAGATCGTACAGTTTCGCGCACTTGATAGAAAGAATATAAATTTTGGATTGTGAAAAAATAAATAATACCTATTGAAAAACGCGTGTGGGAACTGAACCGAGATAATGCGGCGCATCGTATTAAAGTTACGCATATACAGTTGTATGTCATACAACCTTTATTATTTCACTCAAGTACAATTTCGAGCATACATTTCATGCGGAAATATATTCTACGTATATGACTATATCGAGATTGCAGAAATTATTGAACAAAAAACAGACAGAATGCAATATTATTTCTCGCGATCACAAACGCATTGTGCGATATTGCGGGATTGAAGGCAGTAGAGTATCACGCTGGTCGATAAGATTATAGGAATTGTGGAAGCTTTCGGCGGAAGATATATCGAAATATATATTCACGTTTCTTCTTTACGTACGATATAACGTTAACACAAGTAACTGCGAAGAAAATTAAGCCTTATATACTACCGATATATTATCGATATAATTCAACAACGCACATTTTTCCTTAGATGCTGCCGTAATTTTTTCTGGAAAACATTCTTTAACATAAATATTTAAATAATTATGTCATACAAATTTATATAAAGAATTGTATCTCTGTAAAGTGTGTATATCTGTAAAGAAAAGAAAGCCTCAAATTCATTAGTACGTGTTCGTATGCAAATTAAAGTACGGCTTTTAATTTATAATTTGCTTCAATAGCAAATCTTCAACAAAAAAAAGAATTATCTATTTTAATATTATATAATAACAATGAGAGAAAAGACACGTGACATTTAATAATGATAGGCCACCTAATGTATCACGTATTTCTATGCATTTAAACAGATAATAAAAATATATTTGGAATTTAGAATTTACGTATTGCTACATTTCACGTATCTACAGCATTTTAATTATTTATTATTTTTTTATACGTTATAAATTGGCACATTTTTGAAAATATTGGATCCTTAGAATTTGGATACAGAACAAAAAATATAAATTGCATTTTAGATTTAATTACAAATATATTTAAAGATAAAGATATTGTAATAAATATAATACTGATAAAATAAACTATAAATTTCTGCAAATGTCGCTAACAAATAAACATAACGAAAAAAGTTAATAATTTTCATTATTAATTTAATAGCGCGACTGTTTTGGCATTCCATATTGTTTTTACAAATTATAATTACACGTTTCTTGATATCTTTCCTCATATTATATAAATCAATGATACATAAAACAAAATAACGAGATTTTAATTTAGTGTATATTTATAATACACTTTGAAATTCATCATTTTTCTGTATGCTACTATTGTAAAATTAGTAGAATACATTAGACTAGCTTATGAAAATATATCACGTTTCTTTACAGACTACAATAATTATCACGAAATGTTATCAGTCTTAATCACATTATTATAGCAAAATTTTCTTTTTCTAGAAAATTAAACGCTTTAATTACACTGAGCCTTATTCTTTATATCCGCAATATATTGCTTCGATTAATCACACTATTAAAACTGTCAAAGCTGTGAGCACATCTGTGTTAATATATCTTTGATGTATATATAAATTTGATATATAGAATTCGACATCAAGTTGTAATAAGCAGACTGGCTTCCAAAATTTGATAAAAGAAAATAAAAGTTGTTGGGAGCATGTGAGCGGAGTTTAAGGTAATTTAAGAAGAGACGGAGGAGAATATTGTAGTAGAGTAGGAGAATATTGTTTCCTCACTTGATTTCTGCGGAAAGCCTGAGGATTTGGCGCGTATCCTATTGTTCCCTGCATCTTCATTGTGCGCAAAATTTCGGCATCTATCGCTGGAGTTTTTCTGTGAAAGGACAAAAATCGATTTACTTGTTTCCCGATTATGCAAATGTGTACAAAAATCGCGATAGCATTCTGAATATATAGCGGGACCTACCTATAAACCTTTTTTAAGAACTCTTCTGGCCAATCACTTAACAGTGGTTGGTCAGAATATACAATTGGTATTGTACTAAACGGTGTAACATCGTCATCAAAAGGAATTGATTGTACTGTCTCAATTGGATCGGCAAACTCCGTAGCTCTAAATAAAAAAACATATGTATACATTTATTCCATTCCCATTTTTTCAATCTAATTTCAATTATATAAGACTCATTTAATTTATTTAAAAAGTTTTTTGAAATCATATGTTTAAAAAAATATGTTTAAAAAAATAATTTCTGACCTAGAAAATGTATTAAATTGAGGTTCTGGGTTGTTCGTAGACATTAGATGTATAGAGCCTGCTGAGTCTCCAAAGCAAAGACACTGTGATGTGGAAGCTACATCAAATGATAATATTCCTGCACCACCGGTGGCAACCTAGTGATATACGATACATTTTTCTGTATATTCTGTGTGTTAACTTTTTGCAGTTTCATCTTTGAATTTTTCTTATCTCTTCTGTGATAAATTTACCTGATATAAACATGTCATTGGTGGTTGTACACTGGCATATATTGTATCAAGTAGCTGCATTTGGCCTAACGGTGATACCACTGCGAGACGAGTGGAATAACTTGGTACGAACTTCAATAAAAGAGGATATACCATAGTAGTGACCGGACTTAATGCTCTCATTTGCCTCAGATCATAGGCCATTAAAAATCGATCGACGGTAAGGCCCTGACGACTGAATATACGATACAATTCATAAATATTGAAATGTAGAATAAGATTTTGAATGATTTTTTAATTGTATTACAGCTCACCTGTTGCTGAACCCACATGTAACAAGATAATTTCCCTGAACATCAAAATCACTTAAGGAACCACTATGCGTGTCCAAAGTATGTTCTATTGATAATTTGCTTGGGTCCCTGAGATCTATCCTACCCGCAGGATTACCGGCACAAATAAGTCTACTGTGTTGTCTCAATATCGCACAACCATTTTCTCCTACATCAACCTACATAAATACAAGATAGAGTCATCATATGAGAGATTTAGAGTTAATTTTAAATTTTAATTTAGAGTTAATCTAATTAATCAACATATTCTTACTAATCCAATCTCTTTTCCTCTAGTAAGATTAAAATCAATTATTTTATCCTGATGTCCGCCCATTAATAGTCTTGTTGGAGAGATCTGCAACATGCACTGCATGTCGTTCATATTCGCTGACCTATAACAACCTAAATTTTCAAATCCGAAGATAGCACCGATATCGAGTGGCTGCGATATCAACATACGTATGTGTAAATATAGGTATGCCTCGTCGCAACTGACATCTCAATATGCTCTGCGTCAACACTAAGATTCCCTCATCCACAGGATGAATATGCCGTATCTCTTGCGTTGCGTGGACTTGAAAAGAGGTATATTTTTGTAAACCCGATCCATAGTAAGATGTTATGTGACCCTATAACGAATTAATGTCACTAAATAAAATAAACTGGTGTTCCAAATGAAAATAGAGAGACTGATGTACCCCTTGATTCCCCATCCACATAAGCTCCTCGACTGTATCGAAAGTGGCAGTGGAAACTCCAAATCTATCTCCGCCATCTGCGAGTAATGTTCTAGTCTCATGAAATTCAGCACCGGCAAAATCTTCTCCAAACTGCTCCGTTGCAGGTACATACTCATCTCCAGGTACAACATAATTACAGTCTTCCCCTGGAATAAGAACCGTTGAAAGAACAGTTGAAAATCAAATTCCTATTTTTTTCATATACATTATCCTAAAACTCCCACAGAAAAGTACTTATATTATTTATAATGTAGAAGAAACAAATATATAAAATATTTTATAACAAGATATTTTAACAATATGGAAATTGTACTTCTTGGAGTAACAAAACTAAATTTATTTTCAGATATTAAATATTTCTCACAAAGATAAAGACAAATACAAGAAAAGTGCACAATTACACATACTTTAATAGGGTGTTAATTTAATTTATATTATTAATTATATATATATATAAATATTTGGAATTTTTTCATTAACTTTTGTAAAATACATAACAAAATGAGAGCTTTTATGGTACAAAAATATAATCTGGTAGACTGTTTAAAGTATATTCTCGATATTAGTCCTTGAGAAAACAAGAAAGAACACTTTCTTTGCTAAGAGCCAAATTCCACGCATATCAGAGAAACAGCTGATGCCAGCTGATACATTGCTAGTGTTCAACACGTCAGCGTTCAAAAGCGAACGAATGTCAAGGACGAAGGAAACAAATGTATCGCGAAAAGATGACAAACGTCGCGAATAGAATAAAGCGGGATTGTGTATTTTTCCCGCCGGATTGGATTCACGAAGAACCGCCAACCACGCGTCTTTTGGCGCGCACACACAGTGACAGACGGACTTACATAGCAGCTCCTGTTCTTCCTCACCGCTACCGTGGTCGGTGGCCTCTACAGTGGGATCGTAGTGGCCCAACACCGGGTAGTCCATAATAATAAAGGGCTGCTCTTTCAGACTGCGTCGTTGCGAAGCATCGAAGCGGCGTCGTTATCTGCGACGCGAGGGCGACAATAGAATCGGCGTCCCGACGACGGCGATCGGTCTCTTATCATAGCACACCACGCACGCACACACGCACGCACGCAGGTAGCCGAACACACACCCGCACGCACGTTAGTCTCCTTGGCAACTGTGCAACAAGCGAAACACTTTGCGCACTACTGCTGCGATCTGACGAAGCGGAAAGCTAGCGAGCGCAGGACGACGGATGTGGCGAGCGAGCGCGTCGTAATACGCTCCTTTCCTCGTGCCCTTTCACACGCCAAGGAAACTATGTCGTCCACCGCAATCACAATCTAATTCATGATAGCGCATTATGCGAGCAAAAACGTAGCACTGCGGCTTGAAGCTACTCTAAATCAGAATCTGACCATTAGACCGACCGAATATGTCAATTAACGACATCTAGCGACAGCGACCAAATTTACAGCTTCTTATTTCCACCGCTGCAGTCGCCACCATCGCTGGCTTCTTCTTGAGTTTAGACTACTTCCGATCACTGAATCAATTGAGCGACTGTTAAATAATTAAGAGCACCGATTATATTTCTTATTACTTATTAGATAAATAATTATGTAATTAATAATTTTTGTAGCATTATTACGAGCGCAACACTAAATCTCTCTTTGTATATTTTTGGATCATCTTTTAATTAGTTATCAGCTTGACTTCGTAGACGAGCAATAATGCAAGTAATGGAGTGAAGTTGCCAGCGCTATTTTCGAATTGTTCTACCATTAACGGTATGTCGCAAGTACGAGACGGATCGTCTTCAAGTTGAACGGTAACGTGAACGTTTAATTAAGTACAATCGTAACTGATTCCATATTTCAATAATATTTAGTTAAGACACAATTTCGGCAACATATGTAGTTTGCTTTGCGTGAATAGTAGACATAAGAAATGGCCGCGCGATTTTCGATTGTTTTCATCGTCGTTGAGATCGTAATTCGTTCGTTGCGGAACGTCGCGAATGTGGAACATATCGTAGCTTCGTGTACTTTTTTGGTGCTATTCCGACAAAAAATCGCGTCGGGAGTACGATTAAAGCCGGGAGTGTCGTAAAGTATCGCACAATTGTTGTGATATGTCAAAATGTGCGTCGGGAGTGCCGTACAAGAATCACGCGATCGTCGTGTCGTAATAACAAAATGTCGGAAGTAACATTTCGTGCGATTGCATTATTTGATCATATTTTCGCGAGTGAATATTGTGGAAAAGAACCATTGAGTGAGAGAGGAGGCAGAGGCCCGGAGGGCATCGGGCAATAGCGGAGTCATTGTGGGGTGAGTAATTTATTACTCGTTTGTGATTAATATATTTTTTGAAATATTATCTTAGGCATTGCAATAATATAAATTATATTAAATTGTATTTTGCAGAGATGGCCGTTGATGTACAACTTCGCTGCTGTATGGGTTGGTGAGTACTAAATTGTCTTTATTTTCACTTTAAAATATGCAGAATTTATAAAAGAATTTTGCAATACTATTGTACATATGATAAAAAAACACTTATGAGTGATACATGTTTACATGTTGGGTAAAATTCTATCATACTGGATTACAAAAAGGTGCTGATAATTAAAAATAAAATTCAAACAAATTCAAAAATACACTTAGCACTTTAATAGAGATCAAAACTGTTTTATTCATTTGTTGAGTAAACTATTATTTTTTAAAAATTAAAAAAATTTTTAAAACAAATTTGCTGTCTTGAGTGTGCATAAAATTAGAGACAATACAAGTTTTATTCATAAAATACATTTTATTACCATTGTCATGTTGACTATGTTATTCCTAAATACAGAATTGTAAACAATTGTTGCTTAAGGCAATTACATTTAAAAAAAAATTTCTCTGGAAAATATATAATCAGAATTGCATTTTGTACATTTTTAATTGTTTTATCAATATTGTTTATGAAGTTATTATTCAAATATAAATTCAAATGTGTTACATTAACTGTGTTATGTTAACTGAATTAGATATTATTTAATTAACTATATGTTACAAATCCTATATTTAAATATTACTCATTTGAGGATTTGTTGCTAATTCTATAAATTAAGTATGCAGGATATAAAAATAAAAATGCAATATATTTATTTTTTGGAAGACACCTGAGATATATTTCACAATTAATAAATTACACTTATATAATGTACACTTTACAGATATAAAGATTATATTTTTTATACTATTTTATTTGTATGGAATAGAATTTGCAAAATAGAATTTTTTTGTGCGAGTAATGGAATTCATTGCTATAAAATATAGTTCATCAGTCTATTTTATATACATATATATATATATTTATGTAAACTTTCTCTATTTCTCTTTACTGTTTCTTTTTACTATTTTTCTTCACTGTTTGAGCTTTTTCAGTTCACATACATTCACAAATATACTCACAATTAATAACATAAGATAATAAGAATGTTAAGCAATCAATTCTCTGAAAATGCCATGAAAAATATGTTCAAAATATAACACTAACTATAAAATCATATATATAAACAAAATAACAAAAATCATAAAACACATTACACATTTTTACACTAGTTGCACATTATACATTCATACATCAATTTTGTACTAATACTTATGATCATTAATCATGTATTACACATCATTAACCATAATCACACATCATTAGTTGTGTCTTTCAGTTGCAAAACCACGAGATTAAGTAAACACATGTTTCTTGCCCAAAATAAAAATATCTCATAATTGCACCTTCAAATACACCAAGACACGCTCCAACCAATACATCAAGCATATGATGTCTTCTTAACATTATTCTTGATAAGCATACGGAAAAAGACCACGTTAGTAAAGGTAATGCGTATAACGAAGACATATTCCATGACTCAAAGAAGTATAAAATAAACAAAGCACGTGAAGCATGTCCAGATGGAAAAGAATATTTATCAGGGCCTAGAGAAAATGGATCATCATTAGTATTTGGTCGTCTTCTTCTTGTAATTGCCTTAAGCACAGCAACGAGGACAATGTCGAACAACAATCCTGAAACAATTCTATTGTTTATACATGTACACAAATTTTAAATGATGAAAGAATTTTATTCGCTTACCTATAACAAGATTGACTTGCATTTGATACAAGCTTTTGTTGTTGAGAATTCGAATTAATATAAAGGAAATACCTAGCCAACATATACCATGACATGATATCTGCAAAAAAAATAAATGCATTATAAACATTTATTTAAGAAACAAATTTAACAAAGGAGCAAACATACCTCCAATATATAATAATACAACAGACACTGTTTTAAAGATAGAAATTTTTCCATGAACTTAACAAACTCATCTGTGAAGTAGACATCGCGTGCCAATATTTTTGTCAACCATGTTGGAATTTGTCTTCTATCAGCCTTAAAAATACAAAATAATTCTTATTTTATTTACTTTCAAATATAATTCTACGCAATTATTTAATTTAACATTTGGACACTGCAATATTTCTAAATTTGTTGACTGTCTTAACAAGTGTATCTCAACATTTTGTTATGATGTCTAAATTTAGAAATATTGTAGTATCCAAAATATTAATCAAGTAATTCTGTATTAAGAAAAGGAAAAACATAATGGAAAAATGGAATGGCAATGAAAATAGAATGAAAAGAAAGACATACAATGTTGATAATATAAATATTACCAACTTAACATATATCACAGAAATAGAATTTATAATAAAATGTACATCAATTATTTAAATATTGAAAAAGACTTAAAATAGATTAAGTAAAACAGATTAGGATGAAAAAATAACCAAAGTATATAAATAATAAGTTAAAAATTATTGACAATTACCGCTCTCATATTGTTCCCGAGCTTATGACAGCTGTTAATGTAACAAAAGGTATCCAAAGGTCGTTGTATTATATTAATAATCTACAGCTGTTTTTCATCAATACAGCTGTAATCAATAGAAGTAAAAGAGTGCAGCTGTACTCTTGCTACTGCTGTAGTACACGTACAGTCATTCACATGTTTTACGAATAAGTATTCCATCTGCTCAACAGATGGGGCATATTGATAAATATATACCGTCTTTTCACTCTATTTTATCTTTCACTTATTTCTACTTTACCGACAAGTAGAAACAGCTGATCACAGCTAAACAGCTGATAGTCAATATAACTAAACAAATAAAAATTATGACATATAAACGTTAATACTTTCCTTAAAAAATTGTGACTATTAATAGAATTATGAAAGATCAATTATATTTACTTCTATATTATTTTAAAACTAATACATATACAAGAGAAAATATTTTAAATTTGTATTTTTATTCTTACAATTTTGTATATTTTTATTTTTTTATTATAATAATGACACATCAGTTTAATTTACAGAAATTATTACATTGTATAGGTGAAATAATAGTATACTTCGAAAATATTTCATTCATTTTCTTGCACGAATATATTTCTGTTTTTTTTTTGTGTGCGATGACATAAATATGAGAAAGCATATCACAGTTGAAAACATAGTTTTGTACGATCAGTTTCTGTGTATAAGTGACATAGTATAATACACGTACATATATATGTATATTTTAAATAATATATTTTTTGTACATATATATCACATGTCTGGAAGAAAAACGATGATCACAGGAGTAAGCTTGTTGAGGGCTCGTTGATACAGAGACACAATTATATCTTCTGATTATGAAAATACATCGGAATAATTTTCTTGAAACTATTTACAATCTTACAAAGAAATTACAATCCAATATATTTATCTTTCTGACGTAGTTCATTGTTTATAATTTTCACAGAAACGAAATAATCTGCCTAACTTTTCTCGAGTTTTTTGTATTATATCGATAGTTTTGTAATAGAAAAATCAGAGGTTAAAAAAATATGGTAAAAGTTATACAAATAAGTATATTATCAATCGTTGTACTGTCAATTTGAGAATGCATATCTTAACTTTTACTTAACGTACAGAATGCCTCCAGAAAAATGTATATCGCAAAATAAGGTTTCTAAAAAAATAATTCTTCCTTACCTTAATCTCAGACAAGAATTTCGTGAACGTGGATTTAATTATGAGCAAATTTAGGAATATAATCTTGCTTTTGACATATACATTTTTAGGTGTACATCCGTTAGAAGCATGATACTTGCAAAATGCTATTGTGATAATAAGACTGATAATGATTTATTACAAATCATTACGAATTAAGTTAGACGTTAGACTATTTGCAGTTATTTTCCATTTGATTATGTGCTCGTAAAGCATCTGTGATTAATACGAAGAAAATAGAGATTTATTAAACATACAAGTTTTCCACCGTTGTTCGTAACAACTTTGGATCCGGAAATTTGATTCTATATATTAATTATTTTTTCAAACATTCCAAAAAGTATATTGCTTTACTAGAAAGCAGAACTTAATCGATAGCATAGTAGAAAAGCGTCGTGGAGCACTATTGAAGCCGCCGTAAAGGATATTTTGGAAGATACAATTGTGGATCTATTCCTTAGCGAGGGACTTTTCGACGTTGCACGAGCATAAAAAAAGGTCATTGAACGTCATCGTTGTATGTTGCATATGACCTATTTGCGAACAACCACATGGTTTTTTAAATTCACAATACACTCTGTCTTCTACATTTAACTATAAAAAAAAGCTATTGTTTTAGAAAACATACCATATTGTCGAAGACGCGTTTTGTCTCAATGTTGTCATCGATAGAGATGCGAGGAATTCGATGAGCTAAGATATTACTGAAAGAAAAACATAAAAGAAGGCGTCTATTTATATATCTATCGATTTATCGTCAAGAAACGCGATAGTCTCTCACGCAATTCTCTTCGCACACATTTTATTCTTCAAAGAAATAAAAATTTATTATACGTCTTCGAAGGATATAAATCATAGATTAAATATGTAAATCTAACGCAAATCTTTTTACTCACTCTCGTGCCGTCTTAGTGGCGTCGGATTAGACGGGTGCGATGATGAAGAGCATTGACGATATCTTCGTCCGATTCAATCGAAGGACGCCGCGTTAGCCGGGTGTTCGGCGTACCGCAAACAGACGAAGTAGCGGTTTGCTTCGCTTGTGGCGTTGGGAATGAGGAGCGGCGGATAAGCGGGGGCGGCCGCGCTCCTGCGGGAGGGGATGGATAATTAAATTTTTCTGTTTTACATCTGACCTTAATCGGCTTAAAGTGGTTTCGTATTGATTGGAATTCTATATTAGTAATATTTGTCAATATATTAACTGTCGCAAAATAACTTTATAGCAAATACACAGAATCAAATTGACTGCGCGTTTTTAATTTATTCAAAATTTATATTATATAAATTTGTAGTTTTTTTAATGGTAAAATTTTTAATTAATTAGATTTACAGAAAAATATTATTATTATGTTGTAATCAGGATGCTACAAAGCTATAAAGGCAGATTATAGAAAAAATAATTAAATTTTCTTTTTAGACTTTCCAATCCTAACAAGGGATACCACATATTAATTTGTTTAGGAAAATTTGTTCTTTTATATTGCATATACTTTTCAATTTCTTGCATAATTATGGGATATTTAGGAATTAAAATTCTTTATTGCTTCACACAAACACATACCTAATAGACGCAATGCGGAACGTTGCATTCCTGGTATCTCAAAGGACTGCTGGCTCCTAATTAATTCTCTTGAAATGGGACGTCTTGTGCCGGGTATGTCCACGCTGGAGGAGCATCTCCGTGAAATAATCGTGCTTGCCCTAGACGAATCCTTATGCATTTTTGAAAAGAAAAGGTGCAATAGCTTCACGAATGCGGGTCTATCCGAGCATCGAGAGACGGCTTTTATTGACTCCGCTAAGATAATAGCGAAGCGTTTATCCGTCGGTCTCTGCCGAATATCGCAATTAATTCCGCGTGGTGCAAATTACTGAGAATATATGTTCAATATGCATTCGAATTCATTTGGCAATATACATAGGTGCGAATTGTGGATAGTGCATTATGTGCTCAGAAAATAAAAAAATAGTGCAATCAATTGTATGCGTTGGAATAAAGTATCATTTTTTCCGAATTAAAAATTAAAACAACAATTTATTTTAAATAAATATTTAAATAATTAGAATAACTCTTAAAATCACATATTGTGCTAAAAAAAAAAAAAGTAAAAAACAAAAGAAGTGCAATTTCCAAGAGAATATTTTATCAACACAAGTTCTGTTATATCTCAGAGACGCTTTAAGGATACTAAGTTCCAACGCAAGGGCTTAAGAATTTCTGTAATACGTGGCGCAGTACTTTATCTCGGGCGAAGCGTATTCGCAGTACTTCAACGAGAGCAGCTACTACTGATACGAGCAGCATCGTCACGAGTATGTGGCCTGCCACCGTGACGGACTTCATCTGGCGCGTTTTCAAGATCTCTTCAGCGTTTTCTTTCATTTCTTCGTCAATGCTCCTCTTGCACCCACCGGTCTCCACCTCATCCTCCCCGTTGTCTTCCTCCTCTTCAGAGCCGCTGTCATCATCGTCGTCATCCTCGTCATCATCGTCATCGTCGTCCCGCTCGTACGTGCAATTTTCATCGTAATCGCTAAGAAAGACGGACATCAAGTGATCCTCGTATTGCAGATTCGGACAGCGCTTTAATCTTCGATGATCCATCGGTATCGCAAGCACCCTTTCCTTCGCCGCGCCGGCAGCGGTAGCGTTGCTCCTGTCTCGGCTCTGCTCGGAATAATTCGCGTCGAACAGCATTCGGAACGGCAGGGCGAGAAATATGCCGAATATCGTTATTATCAGTAGAAGGCTAATGTTAATCCCCACCGAGAGTCTTTTCTCCTTCGTTCTGGAGCGTCGCGGCATCGTGTTGTTTACCGGAATATCCCTCAGTCGTTCTCGCGGATTTCCATGGCAACGCGGAACGTGTCGGGCGGCATTCGAAGCCACGCGGCTTCTCTAATTGAAAGCTAAGCCGATAAGAGCGAATCAATTGACTCGAACGGAACTACGCACTTTCCAATTGTTATTGCCTGGACAATGGATCGGCGCGCGATAGCGCAACTTTGTTCGTGCCTTCTGCCTCGTCCCGATACAACTGTTGCGCGTACCGTCGTGCAAGCAGTCCGAAGCGAGCCTAGACGTTGACTGTAATATTGATTTCCTCAGGTGGACCGCGCACGTACGCGCAAGTCCTAGCGCTGTCCCGTCGCTCGTCAACGGACACCACGCATACGCCGGTAATTAGATTATGGTGAACGAGACGTGAGGATATATCACGGGGTTCTGAGCACATTGAAGGACGGCCGAGAATACTTGCGAATAGGTCAGATATTTTCCGGGGGCAGTGCAAGATTTTTCTTCTTAAGATATACAAGCTGCGAGGGAAAGCTCTGAACCACGCGCTGCGCGTTAAAATCGATAATGTTAAACAATATTACGTGCTAAACGGCTGTCGAGTATAAATAGACGCGACGGAACGTTATCACATAACTTAATTTTTTTTATCTGTTCTAATATTTATCGCGGAAAGAAAATTACATCATAGAGAATTAATAGGCGAGAGTCGACGGTATTGCAAAGGCAAAGTTCAGGCAAGCTTGTACACGAAGAACGGAGCATGGGATCTTCGATGCTGAGTTAAGTCGTCGGAATAGATGCGGCTCTGCGGTTTCCCATTGAATGGAAGAAAGCGAGACGTGAGCGCGCGAAGGAAGGCGGCAGCCCTCGAAGAGGCGCCCCCCGGTTTTCTCTAGCCGCGTGCATACATAAATAATATTAGACAATATCAAATTAAAATTCGCATCTTTCTGCGAGCAACAATGGAGCGTGGTTGGACCAACAAAGGAAACGCCCGCCGATCCGCGACGAGGTGATGGTGGTAGTAGTAGCATCCGTGGCGGCGGCATTTATAAAAGTAATAAAACAGTCGAACAACAACTCTCGGGGAGCGAGAGCGGCAGCGCTCCGCGGAGGAATGAGAGGGAAACGGCAACAGGGAGAAAGGGCGAGTGCGAGCGGGATAAGCCGGGAGGTGAAAAGAGGAAGGCAGCGGGCGAGGAACGGGCAAAACAGAGCAAAAGAGAGAGATGAAACACAGGAGAACAGCGACCCGACCCGACCGACCGGTAGCCCAGCCAGCACACGTATATCTTGCTCTGCTACTCCGATTCTTCGAGGTTCTCATTGATGAGCTCCCTCGTGCCTTCGCAGAAGCCCGATGATTGCGTGCGAGAGACTTTTTAAAAATAGCCACGATTATATCCAGCGGATGCACGGGCTTGAGAAATGACTCATTAAATGAAACTGTAACATAAATCAAGGATAAGAAAGTTACAATTGGACTTCTTTATATATCAAGTTTCAATAATAACTTTGATATCATATAAAATTTTAGATCTTTGTTTATGTGGAATGTGTGATAAAGACATATCAATAGAGGAGATAACAACTGATAAACTAAATCAATTCATCGCTATTTGTGATTCGAGTTTTGTATTTTTGGTATTCTACTTTTACTGAATACCAAAAAATCTCGTCTATCTTTGGCGAATTCGCGAGACCGGCGGACAAGAGAATAAATTTATCATCAAAGCACTATCCACACCTACGTATTGCAAGCAGAGCGGCGCGTTCATAATGCCGTGAATAATTATCGCGCGCGGCACAATTATTTCGAGGAGCTTGCGAAGCGAACATGGGAAATCGATTATCGCATGTAGCGGCGCCACGGGTGCGGAGGTGCGCTTCGAGGTCATCGATTGAGCGATTTTTACATGTCGCGACGGCAACGGCGATGTAGGTAGAATGGTAGGCGAATAGGTTGAGAGCCAGGGTATGTAGAGCAGATGCTGCTCGCCGCGCTCTGGCCGTGGCAGTGGTGGCGGGGTGCGTGATTTTTCACCGCCGACAGCTCCTCCTTCGAGAACCGCGCATTCCACCTCCTCCCCATCGTCTCTTCTGGGGCCTCTCCACCGTCGTCTTCCTCCCCGGGCTCCTTCATCCTTCACTCTTCGTTCCTCGCGTCCGACTAGCGTGCAGCACGCCGTCGTCTCGCTCGCTCCCGCGACGTGCCCCGGCCGCGGCGGACACGCCACCGGACACCAGTTGCACGATCTTAGATTTGCTGATCTCGCGTTCAGAATGCACCGACATACACACATACATTGGGAAGGAGATGCATGCATGCGCCGGGCGGGGGGCGCAACGGATGCAAGATGTACAGGGCGCGCCCGCGAGCCACTCCTGCAGTCGCGTGTGGCTCGCGATGAGCGCACGCGAATCACGTATAGCGAGCAGTGTATCTATTGACACATCAGAAAATTTAGGAAGCCATGAAATAGTGGTACGTGCAGGAGCTGCGTAATGAGAGTAGCTAACGTATTGTACGAGGAAATTGAAAATTTCAGGAAATAAGAAACTGTACGTTTTCACGAATTACATGAATATCTAGTGATCCGGAACATCAGGATATTGAAATCCGTGAAATAGGAAATTATACAATCGTCATGATGTTTGCAATGAAAAAGAAATTTGGAAGTTTTTTCAATATGAGGCAATACCTTGCTGAAAATAATCGAAGACTTTATCATTAATTTAGATAATTGTTCTTTAAATTTATCAACTAAAAATATCTCATATTTATACATCGTATAACAACATGTGATCCAGATTATTAATGAATATAATAATTCATATATTAATGTTACTTTATCACTCTATTGAATTTTGGCACAATATATATTTTTGGTACAATATTTATTTTTACACATTTGTAAAAATAATATTGATTAACTTTGATAAGGGGATTATATGTGAAGGTAGAGTTGCAGAAAATCAATAGATGTTCAAGTCAACTTTATCAAATGATTTGTATCTGCTATCTATATTTTCGTAGATTATATTATATATAGTGTAGTGTATATTAATCAGAGACGAAGAGTGAGTGTCAAGAAACTTATCTAAAATCACATAGAAATTTGGTTTTTCAACATATTTTTTTCTCTATTAACGACTTCGCTCGATGGAATACTCATCATTGTGATTGTTATATATTTTCACGTGTATTTCTTTGAGTGCTCCTTATCATAGATCATCGAAAGCGTCATACGAATGCCGTCGAACAGATGCGTTAGACATCAGCTTAAATACAACTTCGCGTGTCGCGTCACAGCCGGAATGTAACGAGCACTTTTTCCGCCGCGTTTTTTTTTTGCACGTCGTCAATGTTGACGGAGGGTAAAAAAGAGGGGATACGGGCTGTCGCAATTTCGTGCTTAACTACCGGTATATTCCACCGGTATTAAATCACTCGCGCTTGCCGTAAAATATGTGCATCCAATTTGCGGCGCGACGCGCGTCCCGCGCAAAAGCCCGCGATCGGAATATTTACGCGCGCGTTTGATTAGGTTGATAACGTAATTACCGGCTGTCGAAAAATCGATTTACGCTCTAAAAACAGTAATGTGTCCCGTGAGATTCTAAAGTTATTATCTATTATGCCATGTTATCGAAATTTATGCGAATAATTTGAATGAGGTGTGAAGTCAATCAGTAAAAATCGACTGTCATAAAATGTTATGCGCGCATCGTCATTTAAATCATAGCGTGTATCTGGCGTGACCACTTCATAAAATACCGTATGTAATACCTTTTCATCGAAGGCGTTAAAACTTGAATAAAGTCAGACAGATACACGATCCTGTCTCGACGGCGCATAAATAGACGAAAATCTGGCCTCGCGTTGTTAGAATTCTAGCCTGCCGCGAGCGATTCGCGTACAGAAACGGCGCCCTTCCTCGCGTCGCGTTTATCTTATCGGAATTATTACTTTGTTGCAGCATCCTCCATAAATAAGATTAATACCACGCTGCGGACGTTGTATCGCGAAACGTGTGTTTCCGTTGAACGCGAATCGCGCCATTCACCGTTGATGCATCTTCCGCAGTCGGATCGAGAGCGCGCGAGGATCCTTCTGTGAATTATAATATTATTATGCAGATTTCGCAGTGCGCGCGCGGTGAATGGGCACGCATACCCGCCGCTCTCTCCCTCTCGCCCTCTCCTATCATCGATCGACATTACGGCGCGGCGCAGAATCGCGATTACCGGCATAGGAAATCACAACCCCTGGTACCCTGTGCGCCCGGCGCAGAGAGCGAGGCGTGAATGCAGCTAATTGACGTTGCCGCGCGAGTCGCCGTGCTGCAGTGGCTCCGGGGGGTTGCGCTCGCATGGCTGCAGAAAATTTTGCTTGCGAGATACAGACGGGACGACGAGACGAACAGGGACCAGGGAGAGAGAACGGGAGAACGGCGGGGTGTCCCAGAAGAGAGCCCGCAGGAGGGTCGTGTCGTGGCCGCTCTCCTCTTCGTGGCGAACGCAGAGGAAGGATGCATCGCAATTACGCAAATTGCGGCTCTGTTCTCGCCTCCTCCGGGCTCACTGCCCGTGGAGGAGCATCAAGACCGGGCCCGGTTGTCTTCGCGGTTGGCGAAGGACGGCGGTCGCGGAGACTCCCGGCGTTTACATGCATGCCGCACCGGTATGTTCCGCGGACGCGCTCGATTGCCGTCGTTTCACTGCGCGGTGGTTTGAATGGGTAGCATGAACGCGTCGTGTTTGCCGTCGGATGCTGCGAGCAGGCGATTGCGCTTGTCGTTGATAAAACGAAGGCGATCGCCGGAGTAATTGATAGAGTGCATTCAAGGAATAAGCCGCCGGGAGCATTGTAGTTGTACAGACTTGAAGAGTAATTGGGCATTAATAAACATTCCTTGAAAAATTTCACAGTAATGTCCAAAAATTAGATATTGATAGGCATTAATATATATAATTTTGATTAGCGATTTACTGCTAGTTTTCTATTTACTCGACTGTTACTCATCTTAAGTTTGCAATTGCAAATTTGATAGGAATATGTATTACATGCTGTTATGCGCGATTAAACGTGCATGTCGCATCTAACATTTATTTCATTAATTCGATATTTAGTTGTGCTTATTATTATATATGCAATACGAGTAATATTATTTTACTAGTAATAAGATATTACATACTGAAAAAAATGTTTTGTTTGGTTCAACAAACCGTCTGTTCGATTGTCGACGAAGGAGACAGATTCTGGTTGAATCTAGCAGAATCTTGTTGCATTAATAA